GAATAAATAAATTTTAGATAGAGAGAAGAGGGATGACGTTTTATTTTATAGGTTGATATAATCATAAATAATTATATATGGCACTCTTATAATTTTCGAATATCATAGAGGCAATTACATAATAAGGTAAAGAGAATAAATTTGTCTTATGTGTGATACCATTGTAATTTTCGGAAAATAGCATTCTTGTCATTTCTAAGGGAATAAGGCAGAAGTTACTCTTAGATTCCATTTCCTACATCCTTAAGGTTGGAGCCATACACGGTTTCAATACATACACACTGTGTGTGTGATGGATATCAGTCCAATTTAAATTCAAATATAAATGAATCAAATTTGGATACCTATCTAATTCGATTCAATCCCTTTGCAACCCTACCTGGCCTGGCTTCATGAAAAGATAAATTATGGCCTCTTTTGACTTTGCTGAGTTACTTGGTCATATACCATTAACCTCTTCAATTCAGCTCATCTTTTCGTTCATTTTCCTCTACAATATTATTTTACAAGCAAATCATTTCCTTCTCTTCATTTCATATGCAACCAAATGCAAACTCAGCTCTGAACAGTCTTGTTGAAAAATGATGAATAGATGTAGATATAACATTACCACTTAATAACCAGGAATGCAAAACCAAACCTGCAATAACTAGAAGCAGGAATTTACCAATTAAATACACCATGCATCTCATTACAACGACTAATCATAATATTTCTCAAATGAATAAATTGCTGCACTTGCAGAGCCTCTTGGAAAACTCAAAATCATCTCAGAAAACATTTTACCACTCTGATGTTCCTTTAGGCTGCAAAATACAATCTTCTCCAAGACTAATGCATTCTTAAGCAGGAACTCCAATTCTACCTCATAGGAGTTCCCCGTAAAGCCAATTATATGAATAATCTTAAGATGGTATGCTAGACCAGGGAAAAACATCTCCCGTTTCCAGTCTTCAAAATAAGGTCCAAAATGAGATCCTATGCACAGACCTTGGAAAAACTAAAAAAAAACAAAAGAAAAAAAAAAACTATTATTAAACGTAATGAAATTAGGCATAAGGTGAAAAAGAAAACGTTATCTAATGCAGGAAAATAGAATGGATGCTATGACTTTAATCAACTCACATTTTCATGGCCAAAACTTAATTCAAGTGTCTCAAGAGTAGGGGAGCATCTCAACAACCATGCAATTCCTGGGAGTTCGGATCTAGTAAGCCCCATCTTAAGTACTAAACATTTCCAGTTTGACGATGGACATGGAAGTTTTACCAATTCACATTCTGCCAACACCTATGCAATTACCACATGCAAAGAAAAAAAATGTTATCATGTACAACCATCTCTCAAGTATCATGCAAAGAAAAAAAATGTAATATTGTGTTGTGCACATTGTGAACAGGGTTTTTTATTTTATTTTATTTTATTTCTCTAAATTGGTAATGTACATCTTGCAATTCATCAACTTCAGCAAATCTTTGAATCAAATTACATAGTCCATGAAACGTTCTAATCAAGCAACCATAACCTTCATGTCTGTGTGTGTTGGAGGAAAAAAGCATGTGTCCATGTAAACTTTTCTTGACTGTTTGTCACATTACTTTTAGCTGTCTAAGCTTTATACCTTTAGTGGACAGTGTAGTAGTAAACATGGAACATGAATGGTAGAAGGCAGGTGACTAATCAAAAGTTTTCACTTGGGGCCCTAGGAGAATTGTTATCTGTATGCARTGAATATTGAAAAACTTGGTCCAAAGATGTSCAAGTTTATCATTRAATTAGTTTTCATCATTCATTTCACTTTCAATTCTGAATCATGTTGTATGTTCATGTTCAGACTAAGAACCAGGGGGGCAATTTTTTGAATCTAGTGTTGGAGGGTAAGGGATTTTCAGAAGTACACTAAAAAAACAGCACTGTCATAATGTTTAGGAAACTTTAAATTCTGAATCATATTG